CCCCAAAACCCCAAAACCCCATGCACATCAAGCAAATGATAATTCATTTTATATTCTTAATTAAAAAATAAATAATCTTATAATTTCATAAACCCCAACAGATTCAAATCACATGATAAAAGCTGTATTTTCAAGACATAACACAATGCTGCAATATATCTTTGTCAGGTTTGTTTGTATATTTTTATTCGATCTTTTTCAATACTGAGTTAGTAAACTTAAAGCTCATGGCAGTCTTTATTAGAGTATCAGCATCAATTGTATTCTACAACTGCTTTAACCCAGAGTAGAGTTCATCCATTCCCATCTGAAGCATATTCGGAGAAATCAGTTTAATTAAGGCTAAGCACACTCTATAAATAATTTTAGTCCCTTCAACCAGATATATATCCCAAATTTTAAGTATGCATTCGTAAGGAAGCGATGAAGCAAATAATGTCATATACCATTAAGTAGCATAGATCTAAGGAATCATATAATTTTGGAGAAAGTGTGCATGAATCTTAGGCATGAACTTCTTTAGCAACGAGAGATGAATGTAAAATGATTTTGCGAGTCCTGGCATTTTATCTTTGAAGTTGTCTCTGAATTCATGCTTGTTCATTATAGTTAAACTGCATTTGAATGTATCCTCCTCATCTAGCTATGTAAGCAGCATAGCTGATATATATCCCATACCCTACACATACCCTATCTCTTAATCATGGATTGATAATGCTTTTAGGACACAAAACAATGTCTTCTGCCCCTACCCGAATTCATCTCTAAAGAACACATGATCAGTAAAGGTCCTTGTCACATCCTTGAAAATGGTTCTGATTACCTCATGATTACCTTATTACTTTAGTAGCGACTGATAATATTCGCTAGGATCAGACTATTATGTTAATTATTAATCTGATTTCGAAAGTATCTTCCAAGCATATCCTCTGACAGACTAAGGGATCCCTTTTCTAACTCGCTTCTTATACTTATTGTAGTTTTTCATATGAGGATCAGTTTAGAGCATTTAAACCCATTTCTTCATTCTAGCATTTTCTTACTTCAATTGTTTATTGTCTACTTTTGGTGCACTATCAGACAGTCTTAAAGGCTAAAACTAGTCGCATGATGTTGCCGTAGATCTATCATCATCAATCTTAATCGTGTCCTATACAAATCCAAAGCCATTAGTGATTTAGAGCTCCTTTTTGTCTCTTCTATAAAAATCAATGCTTCTCCGATTGAAGTATTCCATGACTTGATCTTGACTGTACATAGATATTTTTATCTTTTTCATCTGATCTTTGAGATTTTAGTTGAATCGCTGCAACTCAGGATCGTCTGTCTCCTTATCGAATTCCATTTCATCATCTGATATCTAGTGCTCTTAGTTAGAATCCATATTATCTTTGCAATTTAATAAATTACTACAGACTAATAATTATTTATATGATTTAATAAATATTTATTATTCTAAAATCTTATACAATCATATGGGGTTTTGGGGTTTTGGGG